TGGTTTATATTAATTAATATACACAGATCTATTGTACTACAAACCTGCAGCTGGTATCAGAGTAGTAGTTTATATTAATTAATATATACAGATCTATCCTACTACAAACTTCCAGCTGGTATCAGAGTAGTGGTTTATATTAATTAATATACACAGATCTATTGTACTACAAACCTGCAGCTGGTATCAGAGTAGTAGTTTATATTAATTAATATATATAGAGATCTACCATACTACAAACCTGCAGCTGGTATCAGAGTAGTGGTTTATGTTAATTAATATATACAGATCTATTATGCTACAAACCTGCAGCTCGTCTTGGAGCAGTGGTTCTCTTCTCTGGTGGTATATAGTCACTAGCTTCTACATCTGATTCTTCAGATGAGCTAGGTTCAGATTCTGAAGCTGACCATGGGTTTCTTTTTGGTCCTTTCTTTTTAGATGAGAGTGACTTCTTTGGGCTAGGTTTAATTTGCTGCTTTAATGCTATACAGGCATAAATTATACAATATTTTCATTATTTGTAAAAATGTTGTATTACAAACATGATTGTTTGATAACAATTTATGTAAAATGTTATATTAAAAACATGACTGTTTAATAACAATTTATGTAAAAATGTTATATTACAAACATGACTGTTTAATAACAATTTATGTAAAATTTTATATAATAAACATGACTGTTTAATAACAATTTCCTTGTTACAGGCCCTTCCAAACTGCAAAAAATAAAGGCTCTATTTCTAAAGATATAGAGCAAGCATGGTTTATCAAACCAAAATACTACTAATAAATGTGAATTTCTACACCAACCTGTAAAACTTCCACAAAGAAATTCACAACTTTGTGTGTGATAACAAAAACTTTTACTGTAAGTTCTGATAATGCTGATAAAGTTTTCAACTACAACAAAAATGCTGCAAAATCATTATATTTCTACAGATCTGTATTGGATAATTATGGTAATATCATGCCTATAGTATTAAAATGTTTGCAGCAATAATTATCTGTTTTGTGAAAAAAATAAACGTTTTACAGGGAGGTTTTTTCATATTTTCTCTATTTTTTTTTTACATGGACATATTTATTAATAGTTAGTCTTCAATAAGTGAATATTAGCTGCATAACAATGTACATGTGAATAGATTTTATGAACAAGTTACTGTGACACTCTTCTTAGTACAAGGCAAGATTAAATTTTAGACAGGACTGTGATATATTAACTTAACCATTTTATTGTTGTTCTTCATAATATCTTTTGAAAAAATAATTGTTTTCTTTATTACTTCTATGGGTACCTTTACTTGGTAGTCCATCAGGAAAAAATATCAATAAAAGACTGCAATATATTTAACATGATAACAGAGATAATTCAGTCATTTGTTACTTTATAAGGATATGCCAGTTTAGATTAGCATTTCACAAATTGTGTAAATTTAATACCACATGACACCAAAAATATATTAGATTTTATGACATTTGGAGTCATGGCGGATGCTATTAAATATGGAGCCAAAAATTGCTCCTCAAACAATAATAAAAATTATAATTTCTTACTTTTCTTTGCCTTTGCTTGTTCATATTTCTCAGGAGAATTGCCAATTCTTTCAGCAAGAGGCATTGGCTCATCATCTTCTTCTTTATTAAATTCTCCATCAGCTTCTTTCTTCTATACATATTTGATGTTAAATGTTTTTATAAGCATGAACTTCAATCTGCTGTTTCATTCATATGAAACTCTAGTACTGCATTATAATAAATGTTAGAACCTTATTTTAATTTAAAACTTTTTAACTATTCCATTAAATGCTATTGCATTAAAAGGATAAAGACAATTTTGTGTAAAATATTAACTTTGGTTTTTACTTGTACACATCGGATAATACTCTGAAGTTCTAACATAAAGAAATGGTAAATCTAAACAATATTACCAGAATTCTGGCAACATTAACTTGAAAAGTTCAGGAAGCACAAACTTCCACTCAATCAATAGGTTACCATAAATCTATTACATTATGTGTGAAGTTCCTAACTCAAACTGATACAATTACTCAAAGAAAGTTAGATGTAAACTTTTTTATTTTTGATGTGTTAGCCCCAGACCAGTAGGCATGAGAAATGCACTAGCCCAAACTGATATTGAACTAGTACAATTATTTTTGCCCATTAAATATTACAAAACTAAAAATAACGATTTAGGACAGTATATATGACATCTCTGGAAAGGTTAACCAATCTACATGTGACAAAATCAAGACAACCACACAATGGCCTGACATCTTAAACCCCTGTTCTTGTCTGTCAAACCTAGGAAAAAGGTTACACAGTTCCAATCCATTTTATCCAAACACAGTTGTTTCATCTCATATCAATAAAACTTTGCACTAAAAAATGACTATTCTAATTTCAGCTAAAAATAATTACACAGATTAGAAAGGGTGAAAAATATGAAATTCAATAATTGGACATTTTAAGTTAAAAGTAAGTAACTGAGTAACCCATGTGTTGTATATCAGCTTACAATGGAACAGCATATTGTTGATAACCAGACCACCAATCTTACAAAAGTATGAATGACAACAGAGTTGGATTTCACATACATTTGAAGCAAGCAAAAATGTACTAGCCTAGGAAAGTACGTATGGAATTCACACTAGCCAGAACTATATTTAAAAACAAAACAAGAACAAGAGAAAGACATTACACGATATATATTATATTCTTTAGTTACATAAATATGTAACATATAAAGCTCGAATCTTGTCATGTGTTAGTTGTCATGTGTGGAAACTGACTTTTGTAATTGCTTACAAATTTTTTTTATCTGGTCTTTCAGTTTTCATTTACTGTAAGTATAAGACTTGTGTGTATTCAGAAAGATAGACCATGACACTACTGACAGTATTCAATCTGTACTAGCTGAGTAACAACAAATACTTAAAAAAAGACTGATGTCCAGAGAAAAAAATACGAGAAAAATGCTAAGGAAATCAGAAAAAGTAATATATTCATTCATGTTTACTAGTTAAGAATTTTAATCTTATTTGTAAGTAAATAAATAAACATGTTTGTCTGGTGTTTATTTTGCACCATAAAAGAATTACATAGCCACCAAAAATCCAATAGTCACTATTTGACCTACTTATATTTTAGCACTGAGATCAAGGTATAAAGTAATAAAAGATGCAAAACCTTTTCTCAATTATATAATATGTCCGTGCTTAATAAACAACAGCATAATTTATAATGGTTAATATAAGTTAAAATGTCTATGTTCAATTACACATATCTTAAACCTAAGTAAATCCCTTAAATCTCACTCTATCCACTTCTTCAAATAATAAGACACAAAGTAATAACATCACAGTAGAAAAAAGAATGTTGGAAAGAGATTTAAAACAAAAACACTACTAAATATTAATGTAATCTTTAAATGTTCCTCTCATTGGATTCAATGTTAACTGAAAATCAAACATTCACGTACTCCACATCCTGTCTTGTGATTTTTTGAAAAGTATTTCTTCTAACCCCACCCCAAGATAATAAAAGACCACTTCTCAGGTTGGGATTGAAAAAATACTATAAGTGTGTTTAGAATAGGCAATCTTGTCTTGTATAATAATGCTTATTTAGTAGGAAAAATTTTAAGATTCCAGGAACTGCAAGTTAAAATACAAAGAACAGGAAAAAATAATTTCTAGTTCAGAAATACAAAATAATTAAAAAGAAAATACTGCTAGTATATCTATTCACAATTGATTATGAATCTGCTTATGATATACTAAATCCATTACTAAGTAGTTCACTGATACAATAAAACACAACTGTTGTATACAATCTTGAGGCTGTGCTACCAGTAATCTGACATTTAATAGAAATAAAATATACAGATTATACATTTTGTCAATATTACCATTCTCCCTCTTTTTTTTACTTCTCCAGCTCCTCCAGCCGGTTTCTCGACTTTTTTGCGAAGTTCTGGATCAATATGAGGAATTATTCGCTGGCTCATTGGAGATGGTTTTGTCTCTTCTAATGCCATCTTCTTTGGACGGGACTTTCCACCACCTTGTTTATGGGCTGCTTTCATCACATTGCCTGAAATTCCAGCTTCTTCATCTTCTTTTTCTTTCTTCTCCACTTTCTACTCATGAAATTAGGACTCTTCAGTAATTTCTCCCACAATATTACACAACCACAATACAGAATACGTGTCTTGCTAAAAAATTATAGTAGTTAAACTGATAACACTTTTATATAAAAAAAACAATAGAAAATCTTAAATTGTTATTCATCAGTAAGGATCACAGTAATCAAATAAAGTATTTTCTCAAATTAACTTTACTCAGTCAAACTGTTCTGCTATGAAAAAACACACACACATTCTATAAATCAGTACTACCATTAAATTTATTTGCTATACTTAAGATAATTCTGACACATAACATGATTTTTCACACAACATGTGCTTTTAAAAGTAAAAATATATTCACATCTAGTTCCTCCATGAAGCTCTGAAGATCACTTTGCCACAAGTCTGCAGGAGACTTTTGTTTGAGATCTTCTAACTCTTTCCTCTAAAAAATGAAATACAGTTTTTATATTTTATAAAATTGAATAAAATTATGACTGAAAAGTTTTTCTTGCTACTCAAAGACTTTTCTGGCTGGAAATATGTTTTATATATGCATACAAATAGCTAGACAAACTAAAATGCCATATGGTATATAATGTTCAAATCATTACTTCAGTTAAAAGCACTGCTTTACCCCATTAATACATTTTGAAGGTAAATATAATATTTAAATAGAGAAACTTCCAACAGTAAAATAACTGCCTTTGTTACATAAGAATAAAAGAAACTATCTAAATAAAACCAATTTTTTGTTGTTGTTATTCTTAATTTTTTATGTGCTTATCGTTGCTGGTATCACGAGGTAAGTGAACATGATAGTGTGTGTGTATATAGAATATTTCAAAAAATATAAAAGTTAACTTATACATGAGAAACTTTCACATATTCAAAGGCTTTTCCATCTTGTTTGCTCTAGATTACTTACAGGGATTATTTGTTTATTATCTTGTCTCAATGGGAAAACAAAACTGTCTAAACTTAAACCATATTGAGACATTATCTTTACTTCTGAATTAATAAAACTCTAGGTGCTACAGAATTTTATTTCAATAATAATGTAGTTCTAGTTAGTAATTCATGTAACAGCTTTTAACCAGTCAATAAGGTAACAAATCAGAAAAAAATCATTTATATCATCTCACATACATTTCTCCAAGCATGGTTCAGATACTAAATAACTTGTTTAGACTTAAAGCAAGGTTTTAATATTACAGTTGCTTCTTCAGACTAGAAGCAAGGTTTGAATATTACAGTTGCTTCTTCAGACTAGAAGCAAGGTTTGAATATTGCAGTTGCTTCTTCAGACTAGAAGCAAGGTTCAGATTTTACAGTTACTTGCACAGACTAAAAGCAAGGTTTGAATATTACAATTGCTTGTTCAGACTAGAAGCAAGTTTCAAATACTACAGGTATTTGTTCAGAAAGTACGCAAGGTTCAGTCAGGCATCACAATTACTTGCTCAGAATGGAACAAAGTTCAGATACAACAGTTACTTGTTCATACTGAAAGCAAGGTTCAGATATTACAGTTATTTGCCCAGTTTGGTTAAGATAATATAGTTACATGTTTAGAATGGAAGAAAGTTACAGATAGTATAGAAAACTCCTCAGAATGGCATACATATAACTTTTAGTTAGCATTTTTAGTTTCTCAAGCCTATTACTAAATACTTGGAAATGTATTCACAAGAAAGAAAAGTTATATAATCTGAAATCAAATAAAAAACTCTAGACACAATACATAAAACACTGTGAACCTTTTCATCCCTCTTTTTCAACAATTCATCTTTTTTTTCTTTTGTGAGACTCCACATGTTCATACCAAGAAGATAATCAAAATCTGGACCTGCAGCTTCTCCTTCTTCATCATCACTGCTCTCAGATTCATCCTGTTTCACAAAATAAACAACATATCAATAAATTTCAAAACATTATGTTCTATAGTAGCATTTTATTTCTGTGTTCTACTTTACAATCAAAATAAATAAATTTAACAATAGAATACTATTTTTATAACACTATAAAAACACTAGGATAGTTAAAACTCTGTATTGAACAGAAATTAAAAAAACATGTCTCTGAAAAACATAATCTTTAAATCCATTGTCATGTCTATTAAAACAAGCAGTGTGAAAGATGTCAAATTTCTTTGATTTCTTGTACATAAAAACTGAATGTTTGTGCAATATCACTGTTACGCCATCTGGCCTGTTGAAAATAATAAGGAAAAAACACAAAATAAAATATGAATCTTGTCATCAATGACTCCTCCTTATGGTTTATTCCAAAATGTCATATAAAATATTAATTTTAATCTTACCATCATTGTCCCCTCCTTCTGGTTTGTTCAAAAGAAAAGATACAGCCATAAATTAAAATGCTTATAAATAGCATTCACTGTAAATATGAAAGCACTGCCCAACAATTATTTTGTATTTAAATAAGAGAATGTAACATGCTAAACCACCAAACAGATGTTTACAAACACAAAAGAATCTTACATTTATAATAAAATAATTATCTAATTTTACATATAAAACAGAACATTTATGGTAAATAGTACACAGAGTTAGACCAGACTACTAAACTGTCAGGATTTAATGCCTTAAGCTTTACTATATGGGTTGATTAGGATTCTAATCAAGCTATCATGCTCTGATGTCCTAAGCATCACTACATGAATTTATATGACCATTTTAATCAAGCTATGAGGATGGAATATTCTAAGTCTCACTAAATGAATTTAATATAACCATTTTAACTAAGCCATGAGGATCAAAAAAGGTCCTAAGCCTCATTACATGGGTTTACTAGAACAACTTTAACCAACATATGAAGATTGAATGCCTCAAGCCTAACCATATGGGTTTACTAGGACCACTTTAACTTAGCTATGAGGATCGATTGTCTTGAGCCTCAATACACAAGTTTATTAAAACTAGGGTTTAATCATTTTAACCAAGCTATGAGGATTGAATATCCTATGCCTCATTTCATGGATTTACTAGAACTATTTTAATCAAACTATGAGAATCGAATGTTTTAAGCCTCACTATACTGGGTTTAATCA